GAGCTCGAGAGTGTGCCAGTATCAGCCAGTCGTCGAGATAGTTCAGGATGCGAACCCCGTGCTCGCGAAGGGGAACATGGGCTGCCTCGACGATCTACGTGAAGACGCGAGGGGACAGAGCTAACCCGAATGGGAGAACCGTGTACTGATATGCCTGGCCCTCGAAGCAAACAGAAGAAACGGTCTGTGTCGAGGCAAAATGGAGACATGAAAGTACGCGTCCTTCAGGTCGATCGCTGCAAACCAATCCTGAGACCGAACGCATTCGAGGATGCGTTTGGCTGTGAGCATTTTGAACGGTAGTCGATGGAGAGAACGGTTCAAAATGCGCAGGTCCAGGATCGGTCGTAACCCACCGGTCTTTTTGGGGACAATGAAGTAGGGGCTGTAAAACCCGGACCTCATCTCGGCTGGAGGAACCGTCTCGATTGCACCCTTCGCCAGCAGGGTCGCAATCTCCGCTCTCATGACCGGGGTATTGCCACCGACCATCGTGGAGCGAACTCCCCTGAAACGGGGAGGAGACCGTGCGAACTGAATCGCGTAGCCGAATCTGATTGTTCTGATGACCCAGCGGGACAGCCCAGGAAGCGCTAGCCAGGCTTCCAGGAAGTGAACCAGCGGGGTCATTCGAACCACAGACGTCCCCCCGGAGGGGCAGCGAGGCGGGTCGACCGGCATGCGTGCAGGAGTTACCCCGTCCGGATGCACCGTCGAAGCCCGCTCCCCGACAGAAGAGACGAGGGAAGGCAGAGCGTTCCACGGGGGTCTGTTCTGCCGGGGGTCTGGCGATAGAGGGGGAAGGGAGGGGCGTAGCCCAGGGACGACACACGCTCCCTTCCGCGCCCTCAGAGACAGAGAGGAATGAATGGGCTGGCGCACTGGGACGTCGAGCGCACCCAATCCTGTCTGTGTGCTCAGTGATGATGTCAAGCCTTTCTTTAACCAACTCAGGGCGCTGCCCACCCGTGGGTGAGCAGCGGGGAGCTGAGAACAAAAGATTCTCCCCCGGCCCTCCACCGGTGGAAGGAGGGGGCCTGCTACCGCCTCCTGGGAAAAACTGAACTTCATCACTGAGCAGCCCGTATCAGGATCGTCGCTTAGCCTGGCGTTTAGCGGGGCGTGCGGCCTGAGGGGGCTGTGACGCCTGCCTGCGGCCTCCTCCACGCCATGGCCCGGATGAAGGCTGCTGCTGGGGCGGGGCGGGAGGGAGGGGAGCCGCGGGGGGCGTCCTTGGCGGCGAGCAGCGGGAGGCATCTGTGCTGACGACTGGTTGGAGGCAGCAGCTGGTCGCCGGGGCAGAATGTGTTTGATTGCCTCCGTATGCTCCTGGGCAGTGGAGAACTGCTGGGCAAAGTCCTCGACTGCACCGCCAAAAAGTTATGCTCCTGGACCACACTGGTGGCCATCACCTGACCAACGGCGCGAGCGGTCACTTTCGTTGCCCGGAGAGCAAGGTCAGTGGCGGACCGCAAATCTTTGAATGCCGTTGGATCAGTCCCGCCCTCGTGCATATCTCTGAGCATCCTCGCTTGAAAAAGTGCTCATCGCATGCAAAGCGGAGGCCGCCTGTCCCGCCACTCTACAGGAACGTGCCGCCATCGCAGACGAGAACCTACAGGCTTTGGATGGGTGCCTAGGAGGACCACGGGAGGAGGCGCTCTGTGCGCTCTGCGCTCTGGGCGGCCCCACCCTCGAGGGGGGGAAAGGCGGGGGAGAGATCGCGCTCTCGAGTGGACAGGGGAGTCCCCCAAGAGCGCGATAACTCCACATGCAGCTCGGGGGGAAAAAGGTAATGGAGTTGGCCGTGGCCTTGCGGCGGCAGCTTTGTCCAAAAACCAGTTATCCATCCGTGAGAGATCGGGGCAGGACGGAGGGTTCCATTCTAACCCGACACTCCCAGCGGCTCGAGACAGCATGGCCGTCAGCTCGGGATCCGACGCGGACAACGCTGGTACTCCCGAAGGAGGCAACGCAGCCGCATCCTCATCTCCCGAGGACTCTAGCCCGCCTAGTGATGCTGTGATCGACATCGCATCATCATCTGGAGCGCTGCCCGAAGCAGCCGGTACCACCGAAGAAGCGGCCGACTGAATCGAACTAACGCTCGCTGGCTCTCGCACCGAGGCGGGAGGTGTGGCGCGAGAAATCGTCGGGGCTTTGTCATACACCGTCACCGTAAAATCACCAGGTCCCCGGGTCGACAGGCCCCCTATGGAGGAAACCGATCGAGCGGGGGGGACCGGGACTCTCACTCAAGTGAGATCATTGAGTCTCGACCTCAGTGTAGAGATGGTCATGTTCCCACAGAAGGAACATGAGTCATCCAGGAATGCTGCTGCTGCATGCTGAATGCCCAGGCATACAAAGCAGCGATCGTGACCATCAGATGACGACAGAAATCGACCACACCCAGAAGAACACAGGCGAACCGTCTTTAAAAAGACGTGCCACGTGCAGCTCTTTCAATGAGAGGAGAAAATTCACTCTTTTAGCGCTGAAGCGACCAGGGAGAAGTGCAAAGTCTGGCAGACCACTGCTCAGATCGCAGTTCAATCAACTGAAAAACTTCCTAATCTCAAATGGATACTCTAATGGACAATTTTCAATCTGGTTTCTTCTGACCACAACACTGTTCATTTACTGCAATGCTTTTCCCCCTTAGTTGTTCAGAACCAGAACAAAAGTGAATGTTATTGTTGACATTTTCCGGTGAAAATAATTGTTGGTCATACTTCCAAAGAGAATAATCTGTGATTCTGAATGCCAGTATTATTTGATGTGCTGTACATTTTGGACGACCGGAGAAATTAACTCTAATTATTTTCTCTGGCAATATACTTGATGTGATATTTACACATTTTTTTTCTTCTTTTTTTCTTTTTCTAAATTTAATGGTCAAAATAGGTATTTCACTTTCCCTTGGGTGGGTTGCTTTGCCATATTTTGTCCATGAGTCACTAAATACAGTATATATGTTCATATTTTCAGCTTTTGTTTCTTACTGGCTTTTCATTTTTAGACAAATTCAACTAGCATTAAAGCTGCAAGCAGCGATGGGCGGGCCCTCGCACCTGTAGCACGTCGGGGTCTGAGGCAGCCGTGTTGCATTTTCTGCAGCTCAGCCAGTGCGGATGTGCATTTGCTACGCGGCTTCGTTAAAGGTCACTTCCTGTTGCCAGGAGGTGGCGCTATGACTGTGGGTGAATGTCAGCATGTAGATTTGTTCAGGGCGGGACTCTTGTCAAACCTGTTAAATTTCGTGCAGATCTGGGCATTTACAGCCAAGTTACTACAACTTCCTGTTTCATGGCGAATCATCGACGCCACGGACACACCCATCGACGAAAACGCGCAGATAGCACAACTTTACATCGTCAATGCCTTTAGAAGGTACAGCAGAAATTTGAAGTTGATCCGACTAAATCCCTAGGAGGAGTTCGTTAAAGTACGGAGTGTGTAAATCTTCCAAATGGGTGGCCAAATTCAAAATGGCGGACTTCCTGTCGAGTTTAAGGTATGGGTTCTTGAGGCTTTTTTGTGCGTCTGGTCATGGTAGATGCACCACAGAAATTTCGTACATGTCGGTCAAACAAGCGGCGGGGGATGCTTCATTAAAGGTCACTTCCTGTTGCCAGCAGATGGCGCTATGACTGTGGGTGAATATCGGCATGTAGATTTGTTCAGGGCGGGACTCTTGTCAAATGTGTAAAATTTCGTGCAGATCTGAGCATTTACAGCCAAGTTACTACAACTTCCTGTTTCATGGCGAATCATCGACGCCACGGTCACACCCATCGACGAAAACGCGCAGATAGCACAACTTTACATCGTCAATGCATTTAGAAGGTACAGCAGAAATTTGAAGTTGATCCGACTAAATCCCTAGGAGGAGTTCGTTAAAGTACGGAGTGTGTAAATCGTCCCAAATCGGTCGCCAAATTCAAAATGGCGGACTTCCTGACGAGTTTAGGGTATGGGTTCTTGAGGCTTTTTTGTGCGTCTGGTCATGGTAGATGTACCACAGAAATTTCGTACATATCGGTCAAACAAGCGGCGGGGGCTGCTTCGTTAAAGTACACTTCCTGTTGCCAGCAGGTGGCGCTATGACTGTGGGTGAATGTCGGCATGTAGATTTGTTCGGGACGGGACTCTTGTCAAATGTGTAAAATTTCGTGCAGATCTGGGCATTTACAGCCAAGTTACTACAACTTCCTGTTTCATGGCGAATCTTCGACGCCACGGACACGCCCATCAACGAAAAAGCGCAGATAGCACAACTTTACATCGTCAATGCCTTTAGAAGGCACAGCAGAAATTTGAAGTCGATCCGACTAAATCCCTAGGAGGAGTTCGTTAAAGTACGGAGTGTGTAAATCGTCCAAAAATGGCCGCCAAATTCAAAATGGCGGACTTCCTGTCGAGTTTATGGTATGGGTTCTTGAGGCTTTTTTGTGCATCTTGATATGATACACGTCCCCACCAAATTTCGTGCATGTAGGTTGAACATGGACGAGGGGCTAATTTTTTCCAATTTTCTAGGTGGCGCTAGCGTGCCGTTTTGCCACACCCATCCGTGAAACCCACAAAATACGAAATTTTTCACCAGTCCTGACATGCGTGCCAAATTTGGTGAGTTTTTGAGCATGTTGCGGCCCCGAAAATGGCGCTTACTTTGCAGAAAAAAGAAAAAAAAAAATAACCCTAACAGTTTCAATAGGGTCCTCGCACTGTTAGTGCTCGGGCCCTAATTAGATGATATATACATGATATTTTGCAAAATTACAATAGGCTAACTCTGATTAATTTATAATAATTTGTATTATATCAAATTATAGCAAATGGAATTTATAAACAGCGGAGAAATTTATTATAAAATATACATAGAATTGTACATGTTTATTCTGAAAATTAATAATACAGATTGTAATAATCAAAACAATTGTTGTATCTGCAACATGATGTGTTGATCTTCTGATTAGACCAGAATGTAAAGCAGATAACAAAAAAGGTAACCCTTTATTTAGATTTTCCACTTTAGACAATCTGTTGACAATAAGTAAAGTTGCACCTACGTGTCAGATAACTCTTATCTTATATTTTCTTATTATTATTATTAGAAAATTAGTAGACTGTCTAAAATCTGTTAACACTATATTTTGATGGTCCTCGACAGACATTCTACTGACTATAAGTAACTTTGTACATGTCAACTTATTCTACTAACCGTAATTCCTTATTCTACAACCCCTGACCCAGTCTACTAATACCCAACTACTAGTCTATTGAGAGTTAGTTGACATGTAGGTGCAAGGTTATGGACCATCAAAATAAAAAAAATAAATGGTAGCAAAATAATAATATAATAAATAATAATAATAATAAAAAATTAATTAATAAAACAGGAGTCTGGAATAATACTAACATTCATATCAAACACACAACCTTAATCTAAAGTCCACAGCTTAATAATAACATAAAACATAAATATTTAAGCTCTGTGTTATGGTTTTTAAGGGCAGGTCCAGATTATTGGTGAGTCACATTATCTTATTTTCTAGAATGTGCTTTAACAAACAGTCAACTAAAAAACTAACTGTTTTATTCATTTTTTTTTAAACATAGATCCGTTCTCAATTACAGCTGCATTTTTGGTTAAAAATTGACAAAGAACCAACTGACTGTTTGAATGACAAAAAAAAAAAAAAAAAAAAAAAAAAAAAAAATCCAGACCTTTAAGAAAAAGGCAGAGATAGCATACTGTTTTTTACACATCAGTGAAGGTCACTACAAATAACATGATACCATCAACTGATGCATTCAACTCAGAAAACCTGCATTGGTACTGAAGGCTCTCAAAGACATGTAAGTAACATCCAAACACACAGGATCTCCAGTGCCAAAGCCACTCCAGTATAGCATTCTCAGTAACTAGCTATAGAACTTTCTCCGTCTCAGATATCACTAATGTGTATTTGTAATTTCAACAGGGCGATGAGGACATCTGATCATAGTCAGGACATTTGAGAAGGGCAGGGTAGTTTAAATTCATTTGGACGGATGCTTCACTGGAGATGTCTGAGGGACTGCGTCCACGAGCCCTGGCATCTGGATGCAGGAACTGGCCAGAATAGTCAGAACAGTTGCTGAGGCGTGGCCTGTAGAAACCTGGGTGTGGCCTGTACATCTCCTCTGCAGTGTACCGCTTCATAAACAGGTAGACAGACATCACACCAGCTGTCTGACGGTGACACAAAAAGAGAGAAATTGAAGAATGTGAAACTGATGAAATGCAACAAAATATTTTACATTTCTTTTGGGTGTCTCGGGATACTGGGTCTCATTTACTAATCACTGTGTGAATTTCTTATACTTATGCAACTCATAATTTAATAACAAACTTAATGTAATAGGTATTACATTTTTAATATAATAAAATGTTTATACTGTTATTATTTAATATTAAATAAAATAAGATCTTGAATGAATGAATGAATGAATGAATGAATGAGGAATTTATATAGCGCTTTCATATGTACCACTGCTCTCACAAAACATTTTACAATCATATCAGGGGATCTCTCCTCAACCACCACCAGTGTGCAGCATCCTTGGATGATGCGACAGCAGCCACAGTACAACGCCGCCAGTTCGCTCACCAGAGGAGAGGAGAGAGAGCGAGAGTAGGGAAGAGGAGAGGAGAGAGAGAGTGATAGAGCCAATTAAATGGATGGGGATTAATAGGAGGCCATGATTGGCAAGGGCCAATAGATGGAATTTGGCCAGGACACTGGGGTTACACAGAGTCAGGACCTCGGTTTAACATCTCATCTGAAGGATGGTGCTTGTTACTGTATAGTGTCTCCGTCACTATACTGGGGGAGTTAGGACCCACACAGACCACAGGGTGAGCACCCCCTGCTGGCCTCACTAACACCTCCAGCAGCAACCTGGTTTTTACAGGCGGTCTCCCAAGGTACTGACCAGGATCAACCCTGCTAACTTCAGTGGGCAACCAGTCTTGGGCTACAGTGTGATGTGGCTTCTCATAATGTAATAACAATTTTTCAATGTAATAACAATTTTTCATATTATGTTTTAGATTATTGTATTAGATGTATGTATTACATTATGAACACACTGTAACAACTTATAAACTAATCACAGTTCATTAGGTAATATCAGCACATAATGTATAAGTGAAATGATGTTTACAATATAATAATAATCTTTTATTATATATATTTTTTTCAGTGGCACTGCAATGGTTGTAATTCCACATTAAAGGTGCAAAAGTTCATTTCTTTCTTTCTTTCTTTCTTTCTTTCTTTCTTTCTTTCTTTCTTTCTTTCTTTCTTTCTTTCTGTCTTTCTTTCTTTCTTTCTTTCTTTCTTTCTTTCTTTCTTTCTTTCTTTCTTTCTTTCTTTCTTTCTTTCTTTCTTTCTTTCTTTCTTTCTTTCTTTCTTTCTTTCTTTCTTTCTTTCTTTCTTTCTTTCTTTCTACCATAGTTTTCTAACAATGCTTTCAGGATCCATGCAGCCTAAGGGTAAACAGAACAGAACCAACATGAATGTATTGCAGATATCATTAATTCAAGATTTAAAAGTACAACATAATTTGCGAATTTATTCTGATTCAATGGAGAATCAGAATGCCAAAATCTGACTGAGCTGGGGGTGGAGGAGGGTAATTAGCTACTGAAAAACATGATAGCTGCTGATAATACTGATGGAGCTTATATATGTGTAAAATGATAGGCATTGTATTCCTATAGGTAGACGTGGATCAGCTGGGAGTCAGCTGATGCAAGCTTGAAAAACATGACTTGCCAGAACGTCCTTAGACGGTCGACTGAATGGGGATCGTGTCAGAGAGCCAATGTTCGTGTCAGAGAGCCAATGTTCTTTGAGTACTATTGAACGAGCAAAAGGGAACTGGCATGCGTGATTTGCATCACACAATCCACCAAATTGAAGGTAGCCACCATCAGTGGGACAACTTTGCTTGGAAACAGCCTTCCCTCTCTGCTGAATCTAACAGGTAAGAGCTGGTCTGAGGTCTAAAGCTTGCGTTTTGTACACGTCTAACCACTATGAAGCGGACGGACAGAGAAAACCAGGGTTGGGTCTGCTCCCTCCTGGGCAGCGCTTGCAGGCTCACCACCTGCTCCTATTACGAGAGAAGTAGAAACCGCGGGCACAATCCAGGCCGGGGTCTCAGCTCTTAAGGGTAGCTGGCGTGAACTCCAGGGACAATTTGTTGACTGAAAGCGAGCAGGTCCCTACCCTCTAGTAGAAACCATGTGAACAGGAGAACTGTTTTCACATAATGTTTTACTCACTGCCTGCAGTGGCTCAGGGGCGGTCTCTGCAGTGCAGCTGCACCAGAGATAAGGCCCAAGAACGATAAAGAGGGGCGCAAGGACATTTTCCTTAGCTCCCTGAGTTACCTGACGATCAGGAAATGCTTTCCGTGCTTCTGCATCACGATGTGTGCCAAGACAGTGACAACATCATTTTGAGGGTGGAGGAAGGTAGTGTTTGCAGAAGTGATGGTAACTACCACATGTCCCTATGATAGCCATCTGAACCTCCGCGTCTAGTGTAGGACCGGCCCGGGATCTCCAGGGGTCATTTCTGCTCAATACCTGGGTGTGATGAATTTTACTGAGCTACAGAAGCATTTCTGCTCAACATGTGAGTGTGATGAAATAACTGAATTTGAGTGGGTCCCGGGCGACAATGAATCCCAGATGCCTTTTAGGAGGCTCACTGGGGAATGAATTTCTGCAGAGCCCTGGGGCCAGCTGAGAGCCAGTGTCTGTCCAAGGGTTGTCCCCTCAGGCAGAATAACAAATGGCAGAGGGAGGACTCTAGAGAGGCTAACAGATGTTACTCTGCGGCCCGAGAAAATCCCTGCCCAGCTGGACCACCAGAGGATGGAGTCTCTCAGAAGATTCTGTCTCCAAGGAGGAGGTGACAGGCGAGTAGTGAGATGTGAGGGAAGCATAGCGCAATGGTCGCGATCAGACCATTACCAGCTCTCTGAGCAACGATGAATCAAAGCGAGGGGAACTCCAACAACTTGAGGCATGGATGCCAATGCAGTCGGAGGTCACCCAGGCCTCCATTAAAGCATGCCCTTTGCACATGGCCCCTCAGATGGTGATAGTGGACCCTGTTCTAGGAGTGGATTGGCCCATAGAAATGAAAGGTCTGATCACAGACTGAGGGTTTGGCAGCCGGCTAGGGTGATCCGTTGTCACAAAGGGTGTACTGTTCTGCCATTGTCACCTCGGGACTCGATCATGAAGCTAGTGCTGAAGCGGTCTTCATATGGAGGAAGCCAGGCGGCTGCGTCTCCCATATGCCCCAGGAGCCTCTGAAAGTTCTTTCAGTGGGACCCTTTCTCACTTCTAATATCACCACCCGAACACACTCTTACTTGAAGAGATGTGTTGGACCAAGTCCTTCTCTAAACTAAAAAAGAGATACTCAGCCCATAGACGAGAATCCTCTCTCCCAGTTGAGCTAAAGACCCAACTGGCTATGGAGCACTCAAAGGGAAGGACCTTGTACTGATACTTCGCACCTTCGAACGCAAGAACACAGAATGATCTGTGGAGTGAAGGAATCGTGATCTGAAGTACTGTCCTTCAGGCAGCAAGGTGGAGGACAGGGACCTGACTCGAAGAAGGGTCTGAGTGTAATGCATGACACTTACCTGTCTCCTTGAGACGGCCAGGGATGCGTGAGAAGGTGGATGCCCGGGTTCTAGAAAACCGCACCCAGCAACACAGGGTCGCACACCGCCAGACTTCCCCACTTGGGGCCCAGGAAGAGAGGAATTTGCTCTTTCCTTGAAGTGTGGGTACCGCTTGCTCCACTCTATTTGTGAGCAAAGCAGAGAAACAGAAACATGCACACCAAACAAAGACTACACCCGGACATCACCCGGGGGGAGGGAGTAGATCAGTGACCAACTCCAAGAGCATCCTCCTCCATCGTGGGCGGTCCGCTCTGGAATGCTCTCACTGTCGCTTGAGATAATGCTTGGCAGCGCCCGGAGCGGGCTGGGTTTCCCTACTGTGGCCGGCTTAATGCTGAGGTCTGGCTGGAGGCTGCAGCAGAGGCCCAGCAGGAGCAGCGGCCAGGGAACGGCCCCTCGGTGATGAGCAGGCGGAGGAACTGCAACCAGCGGCTGGGTGGAGGCAGCAGTTTGGGCAGCAGAGAACTGTTGGACGCAGTTCTCCACCGCATCGCCGACCAGCCCAACCAGGGAAATTGGGGAGACCAGGAACCTAACCTTGTCTGCTCCGCCAAATCAACCAGGCTGAGCAAATTATGGCGCTCCTGGACCACTAAGGTGGACATCGCCAGACCAATCGCGCATGCAACGACACTCATACCCCGGAGGGCAAGGACGGATGCAGTGCGGTGCTCACCTACAGTATGAGCGCACGGTCTGGGCTACCCTCGTGCATGTCCACGGGTGCCCTGGCCTAACAGACCTGCAGCAGCGCTATGGCATACAAGAGGAGGCGGCTTGCCCCAAGGCTTTGTAACTCTGCCCATAGAAATGGATGAGAATTCACAGGCCTTAGGGCGGGACGAGAATCCCTCCAAAAGGCAGCAGCCGCCAGACACAGGTGTCATGACAGATCGCTCCAATGGAGGGACAACTCGCAGCCCTTCACTGTTCCTCCATCAAGGGTAGTGAGGGGGAAAAGCTATTCAGGCAGTTTCTGGCAGAGAAAGATGCCGTTCACCACTAATAAGCTCTCCATGCATTTCGGAAATGAAAAGCACTGGGGTGGCGAGCTGAGAACCAGCGACATCTTGAAAAAGATGCAAACGCACTTGTGTTTCTCTTTCAGGAAATACGACCCATCACCAGTGCCACAGCACACAGGGGAATTACCGCAGCAACACTGAACAGAGAACTGAAACAGTGAAGCACTCACTTTTCTGCCCTCTAACTAGCCGTCAGCACATACAAACCCTTGGCCAGTTGAGAGCTCAAAGCTTGCGATCACCACTGCACTTGCGCTGTAGAACACCAGCACTGGGAGAGTCTTCCTGAAGAACACCGACACACTCGCTAGTTGTAAACAACCGCACTCTTTAGAAACATCAATTCGATCAGCTCCAAAGCGAAAGGCAACTAGTGCCTGCATCCACTTTCGTATTTATACCTACGCCATGGGGGCGGAGTGTGTGATGCGAATCACACACGCCAAATCCATTTGGCTCGTTCAATACTACTCGAAGAACATTGGCTCTCTGATGCAATCCCCATTCAGTCGACCATCGACTACATCCAACGTTATTGACTGAAAGGGAACTGACGCTACGTTTCATTTCCTGCAGTGCAAGTGTCCGGGTACTAGCTGGCCTAAATAAATGTCAATTTGAATAAATTGCTGGTAATGTTTAACAGTCTTTAAATTAATGGCTTTGGCATTATACTAAAGTGAAAAACCCCTGAAGTGGTGGAAGCAGTTTTGGCTTACTGGAATCATTGGTCACACTTTAGATTCTCACTATTATCTAACTATTAACTACAACTTTCGCCTCAAACTCCTAATTACTGGGATGGGATGTAGAATATGGTCATACAGAATAAGTTATTAATATGGTGTTTATAAGTACTAATAAACAGCCAATATCCTAGTAATATGCATGCTAAGAAGCAACTAATTAAAATTGTACCCTCAACTAAAGTGTTACTGAATCATGCTTGCCATTCCAGATCAAGAATTGAAAAAAACAAACAAAAAAAACATCTGAAAATAATTCTAGGATTATTTAAACATAATTTCAGTGTGAACTGATAAAAAATAATGTAAGCACAGTTAGTGAATCATGTGAAACAAAGTTTAAAAGATCTCAGCACCTCAGTAAGCAGGAATGAGACTGCAGCAAAAGCAAACGACCAGCCATATTTATAACTGAAATAAGCTTCATTTGTTTTTGTTCTGTTCATCATCTCATCATTAATGCTGGATATATACAAGACCAGACCAACCACCAGGGACAGACCTGTTTTAGAAATAAAGAGAAAAAAAGTAAGAAAAAATAAGAGGAAGAGAGAGAGAAACAAACAAAAAAACATTATTATTATTTTAGTTTTCTTAGTTATTAAAGTTTTTTATCCAGTCAGTCATTATAGAATAATTCTAGTATAAAAAAGTATATTATTGTCCCCAAAAAAACTTGTTCCACTTTTTTTACTGCTTTGAATTCAAACCCACCTGACAGGATAAATAAGATTCCAGAGATGAAGGCCAGAATAGTGCGTTGAGGACGGATGTGTCCAATATTGCTCAGCACAAAGCCAATGAACATGAAGAATAGACTAACCAGTGGAAAAGGAGTAGCAGAGCGGATCATTTCTAGAAACAAAACCAAATAATTAATTACTGATGATTTATACATAATTATTCTACAACCTCTATAATCTCACTATTAATGTAACAAAATATAAAGAGCAAATACATAAGTAAACTATCTGTTTACTATTGCCCTCTTGGTGGTACACCAAATTTATGGTGTATTATACATGTGAGGTTTGGTGTTCATGTGAGGAGGGGCAGAACTACATGGTGCCCTCCGAAATCTGGAAATTTTAAGCACATGCAATTTCACCAACATTATCATGAAGAAATATACATTGGCTTTAAACATTTCACTGCGTCTATATAAAGTTTGCAGTGATACAATTCAATTTAAGTTTAAACTAGCTCCCTTAGATAACCATGAGTATTATATAATTTATCATGTTTCTTAATTGTGCTCATGTCACTTTTGGCCACCTTCTTTTAAAGCAGTGCCTCAGCCAAGCCCCCCCCCCACACACACACACATCCCTATTTATAATGCTCTTAACACACCCCTGCATTTAAGGATCATGTGAGGGGTTAAAAGAGAGTGATTAGTTGAATAGACAAACATGTTGTGTTATTGGATATCAATTCCTGCTACTAAGACTAATTGAAAATCATTCAACCCTTTAGAGACCTCTGACACAGTGACATACATATGCAACTCACTAATCAAGAATCAAAAGACTAACTGTTACTTATTTTCATATCTCAATTTTTACTTTTTGTGAAAATGTAATACCTCAAATTAATAACTGAATCTCAGATTGTATTGCTAATTTCAACCATAGATATTTCAAGAACAGTCAAAAGTATTTTGAATACCGAATTCTAAAAGTTGATACTGAAAAAAATGTAAATAAAAGCAATCTATGTGTAAACTACAATACTAAAAGAATTGAACAAATACATTGTTGTACAAAAAAATGCCACAAATATATATTGCTAAATCAAATATATATTGTCACCACTCATTGCATAAAACACAAGAAAACCATTTTTAAGGTCTTTACTTTTCGAGGTTTGTAAAGTGTATAGATTTTTTTTTACATTTTTTTTAGTCAAGGTTGCCACTGTGTAGCACAGTGGTTCTCAAACTGGGGGTCGCGACCCCTCGGGGGGTCGCGGAATGATTTCAATGGGTCGCGAGTTGGTTTGAAAAATTTATTTATTTTCAGATTACAATAAATATTTTTCAATACTGAAAAATTAATAGTACAACTACTTTTTTTAAATATTTTCTTATTTTTAAAGACTGAAGTGATTAGGTTTCAATTAAAAAAAAAATATATATTTCTTGACTCGAAGATATGACGTCACCGTGTGGCGACTGATCGCTTGTTATCAATAGCGCACGCAACTGCACGTGGAAACTGCAACTTCAAGAATGGATAAATTTGTAATTCGCAAGGTTAAAAAAGTTGAGGAAATTGTGGACAGTCTGCCTGAGTCATCTGAACCGTGTACATCTACTAAACACAAGAGCAAGACCCCTTCTGACCAATGTAGGAAACGTCGGAAATATCAAGAGGAATTCATAAAGTATGGATTCACTTGCTCTACTGTCAACGACGTGGACCATCCTCAGTGTGTAATCTGTTCAGAAGTGCTTGCCCATGAAAGTATGAAGCCAGGAAAAATGCAGAGACATTTGGAGACAAGACACCCTGCTTGTGTTGAAAAACCTATAGACTTTTTTCGCAGAAAAGAGAAGGAATTACAGAATCAAAAACGCACACTCGCACAACAAACCCAAATTACCGCTAATGCTCTGAAGGCATCTTATGAGGTGGCATACCTGATAGCACAGTCCAAAAAGCCACACTCGATCGGTGAAACCTTGATTAAGCCCGCAGCTGTGGCTATGTGTCGGGCCATGCATGGCGAGAAAATTGCAAGTGAGCTTATGACTGTCCCATTGTCGAATGACACGATTGCTCGCCGTATTCATGATATTTCAAAAGACATAAAGAGTCAATTGATTAATAGGTTAAATGGAAAGAAATATGCGTTACAGCTCGACGAATCTACAGATGTGTCTAATTCTGCTCAGTTGCTGGCATTCATCAGATACACATTTGATGGAAAACTGCACGAGGAAATGCTTTTCTGCTCGGTGCTGGAGGGGACTTGTACGGGCAGTGACATTTTCAACAAGCTGGACACCAGACTAAAAGAGATGCGACTTTCATGGGATAACTGTGTTGGCGTATGTACTGATGGTGCAGGTGCAATGGTAGGTAAAAATAAGGGACTGAAGGCAAAGGTTTTAGAAGTGGCTCCTCATGTTAAGTTTACGCACTGCATCATTCACCGTGAGTCTCTTGCTAGCAAAGCACTTGGCAGTGAGCTTAACAGTGTTCTCAAAAGTGCAATAAAAATTGTAAATCACATAAAGTCACGTCCAGTAACCAGTAGACTGCTAGCCACCCTTTGCAATGAGATGGGCTCGCAGCACGAAGCGCTACTGTTTCATACCGAAGTCCGGTGGTTATCTCGCGGGAAGGCACTCGGCCGGCTTTACGAACTGCGTGACGAAGTGCACTCGTTGTTGAAAGAATCTAAATCTGAATTCGCGCACCACCTGAAAGATCCAGATTGGTTATCAAAACTTGCTTATTTGGCCTGTATATTTGAAAGGCTTAACATGCTTAATCTTTCATTACAAGGTCCAAACACAAACATCTTGACAATGAATGAGAAAATTGATGCATTTGTGAAAAAGCTGGAAAGATGGGCTGAGCGAGTTGAACAAGGTAATGTGGAGATGTTTCCTGAGCTGGATGAACGTCTGGAGGAGAATGGACTGAGTCTCGGGAACTTGAAAACACACATCACTGGTCATCTCCACTGCCTTTTGGAACAATTCCAGAAGTATTTTCCAAAAGAGACGCAACCAGAACTGTATGACTGGATACGACAACCATTCACTGAAACTAGGACTAATCTCCCCACAAAACTGGAAGATGCTTTGCTGGAGCTGTCCAGTGATCGGACATTAAAAACTTTATTTTCCAATTCCACACTACCTGAATTTTGGATCGCAGTGGCAGAAGAATACAGAGAGTTATCCGATGTGGCTATGGATGTACTGCTTCCGTTTGGATCTACGTATTTGTGCGAGAAGAGTTTTTCCGCTGTCACATACATGAAAAATAAATACAGATCACGTCTTGATGTTGAGGACGATCTGCGAGTAGCCGTATCCAACATCAGGCCACAGATTAATCTTTTGTGCACCGAAAAACAAGTGCACCCATCCCACTGAAAGGTACAGTAAAGTTGAAGTTATGGAAGCACAAATTTCAGCCACATAAGAAAACATTTGATAATTGCGATTTTTTTTATCTACAAATTGAGTGTCGTTCTGACTTGTTTTCTCATAATTGTGGAAAATAAACTTGCAGTGAAAGTTATAAGAATTGCATGATACCTTTTTTATGTTTTATTCAAGGTCCATAGGAAGTGGATTTAAAACCACTTTTTTGTTTGTTTATTGTTTGTGTATGCTGTGGGTCGCAAGATCTCCTTGATGTTAGTTTAGGGGTCCTGGCTAAAAAGTTTGAGAACCACTGGTGTAGCATATATTTTTGTGTCAGAAGTGTATACTTGCCATTATCAGGCAGATCAACAAAAATGCCTGCCAGCAGCCAATCAAATCTTAGTAGATAACAACTTAAACTGTGAAAATCCTAAAGTATTTTCAAACCATATTTATAGTAGTAAGTCATAGTGCAACACATTTAGGGTGTGTTCAAACTTGTAGTTTGGTTCTTTTGGTCAGGACCAAAAAAGACAGTTAAACATTCAGTCCTGATTCATTTAGTGTTCACTATGCAATTTTTAACACACAACTTAAAGTTAACAAATAACAACTTTTATGATGTACATTTTGTTACAGAACACCCAAAAAAACAATGCTGTGTGCTGGGCTAAATGGGCTCACTGTATACATACAGTATGGTATTTTTACCAGCTGAGACCTCACTAAGAGCTTATAAAATGTATAAAAGAGTCAAAACAGCACCCGGAGATCTACTGCAAGGAGGTGGCGGTTACAACGCCTGTACCGAACTGTGTGACCTGACTCCTATGATGAGCAAAAAATTATGGTTGACCATTCTATCCTTTTTACGGTTACATTTTGTAACATTGCTTCCTGTTTTTGCTTTGTTTAGATGTCCGCTTGTTTGGTGTGCACCAGGGATGGCAGATTTATTTTTATTAATGATGTATTAAAGGTGCCCTCTGGCATTTAAAATCAAATCATACACCATATTCCATACCAGATGGGGGCAGTATATGTAACGGCACCCGAGACATGTTTGAATCCATATGCAGCTTTATTGAAGGTAAGTCAGACAGGCAAGGGTCAGAGATCGGCAAGGCAGGGTTATCACAGAACAGGCTCAGAGAATGGTCGAATAACAGGCAGAGAATCAGGACAGGCAGCAAACAACAATAGTCCAAAACAATCCGGGTCGGGGCAGGCAGCAGGCTAACGAGAGTGGCAGAACAGATCAAGGTCGGTACACAGGAAAGGCAGGCAAGGGAACAACGCTCAGTCATTACAGCCGTGGCAATGCAATACTTCGCACTGGGTGAATGTATGAGTGTGGCTTATATAGGAAGTCCGATGAGATTCAGGTGTGTGTGTAATCAGTCCCAGTAGTGGTGCATTATGGAGAATGGAGTCCTGCTATGATTAATACTCCGGTGATGGCTCCCTCTGCTGGTTGAGAGGAGGCGGAGCGGGAGCCTGCTCCGTAACAGAGCCCCCCTCCTGCGAGCAGCTCCTGAGGCGAGAAGGTTGACGACGCCGGGGTCTTCCACGAGGTCGAGGGGCCGGTTTCTCCGGATAGTTGCGGTGGAATTCCTCTGTGAGTGATGGGTCCAGAATATCACTGGCGTTGATCCAAGATTGTTCCTCCGGACCGTACCCCTCCCAATCCACCAGATACTGGAGAACATTACCCCGGCGCCTGGAGTCCAGCACTTCGTGCACACGGTATGCCTCCTCGCCGTTGATCAGGAGCGGTGCAGGATCTGGGGCTGTGACTCCCACTTCCGACACTCCCCTCGGGCCCACAGCAGGTTTCAGGAGGGATACATGGAAGGTAGGAGAGATGCGGTAATCAGCAGGCAAATCCAAGCGAAAAGACACAGGGGTAACTTGTTTTACTATTTGAAATGGACCAACATACCTGGGACTGAGTTTACGGCAGGGAAGTCGGAGTCTCAGATCTCTAGTGGAGAGCCACACCCATTGACCAGCGCTGTAGTGAGGGCTAGGGCGTCGATGACGATTGGCCTGTAGTTCTTGTCTTCGGACAGCATGCAGAAGATGAGTATGGGCCTGATTCCAGATCATTTCACTCTTTCGTAGCCATTCTGTTACAGAAGGTAGTTCCGTCGGTTCTCCGGACCAGGGAAACAGTGGAGGTTGGAAGCCGAGTATACACTTGAAAGGAGTTAGTCCTGTAGCTGGTTTGACCAATGAATTCTGCGCATATTCTGCCCAAAACAAGTATCTGCTCCACTCTGTTTGTTCCTTTTGACAGTAAGCCCTTAAAAAGCGTGTGATTTCTTGATTTAATCGTTCCGTCTGACCGTTGGATTGAGGATGGTATCCTGAGGTTAAGCTGATGTTTACGTTTAAATTTTTAAAGAACGCACTCCAAACCCTTGAAGTGAACTGGGGACCACGATCGGAGGCAATGTCTTCAGGTAGACCGTAAAAGCGAAAGACTTGATTGCAGAGAATTTCAGCAGTTTCAAAGGCGGTGGGGAGTTTGGGTAGGGGTATGAGTCGGCAAGCCTTGGAGAACCTGTCAATTATGGTAAGGATGGTGGTGTGTCCCTGAGATTTGGGTAGATCGGTGATGAAGTCGATTGCGATATGAGACCAGGGGCGTTGAGGTGTGGGGAGTGGTGTTAATAGGCCTGCAGGTAGCTGTCTGGGTGTTTTGGACATGTTACAGTTAACACAGTTCTTCACATGTTTAGTGGTATCAGATGCTAGGGTTGGCCACCAAAAGCGGTTTTGGAGGAGCTGGATAGTTGCTGTAATCCCTGGGTGTCCAGAGCTGGGAGTTGAATGAACGTAATCGACGAGTCTGATTCTGAGAGATTCCGGGACGTATAGTCGGTTGTCTGGACATGCGGATGGGATCTGGGTGTGACTGTTAACCTGTTGGATTTCTGTGATGATGTCCCATTGGACGGGAGCCACCAGTAGATTGGGTTGGATGATGTTTTCTGAAGCAGGACTTTGAATGGTACCTTCAGCTTGACGGGAAAGTGCATCAGCCTTGATATTTTTGGACCCTGGGCGATATGTGACAGTAAACTGGAAACGGGTGAAGAATAACGCCCATCTTGCTTGGCGAGGGTTGAGACGTTTAGCCGACCGTAAATACTCTAGATTCTTGTGATCCGTGAAAATGATGAAGGGCTGACTTGCTCCCTCCAGCCAATGTCGCCATTCCTCTAGTGCAAGTTTCATAGCCAGTAGTTCTCTGTTCCCCACATCATAATTTCGCTCAGCCGGTGAAAGTTTGCGGGAGAAAAAGGCGCATGGATACATTTTCTCTGGATTTCCTTGTCGTTACGACAACACTGCTCCTACACCAGTGCTGGACGCATCCACCTCCACAATGAACTGCTTCTCGGGATCTGGATGATGGAGGATGGGTGCTGACGTGAATCGGGATTTCAGTTCTTTAAACGCCTGTTCTGCCTCGCAGAATCCATTTCAATTTGGATGATGGGCGTTTGGTCATAGCCGTGAGAGGAGCAGCAATGATGCTGAAATTGTGGATAAATCTTCTGTAAAAGTTTGCAAATCCTAGAAAACGTTGTAGTTCCATTAGAGTCTGTGGTAATGGCCATTCGTGGTCGGCGAAGTATTCTGTAACGGCACCCGAGACATGTTTGAATCCATATGCAGCTTTATTGAAGGTAAGTCAGACAGGCAAGGGTCAGAGATCGGCAAGGCAGGGTTATCACAGAACAGGCTCAGAGAATGGTCGAATAACAGGCAGAGAATCAGGACAGGCAGCAAACAACAATAGTCCAAAACAATCCGGGTCGGGGCAGGCAGCAGGCTAACGAGAGTGGCAGAACAGATCAAGGTCGGTACACAGGAAAGGCAGGCAAGGGAAAAACGCTCAGTCATTACAGCCGTGGCAATGCAATACTTCGCACTGGGTGAATGTATGAGTGTGGCTTATATAGGAAGTCCGATGAGATTCAGGTGTGTGTGTAATCAGTCCCAGTAGTGGTGCATTATGGAGAATGGAGTCCTGCTATGATTAATACTCCGGTGATGGCTCCCTCTGCTGGTTGAGAGGAGGCGGAGCGGGAGCCTGCTCCGTAACAGTATACCTCCAGAAATACCTCCGCGGCCGCGCGCACTCTCATGTCTTCAAACAACACGGGCGAGCGCTGTGTTGCTCTGTCTCCCTCGTGCATATTAATTAAATCAATTGACACGATAGTAAAAGGTTGGAAGGTCGCAGATTCACGTGGAGCATTTGGAGATTTTCAGAGATTAGAGACTAAATGAACAACATCTCAATACTAAATTATAAAGGCCGTCTCATAGACAAGTCGGTGCATTTCGACGATATGGGAAAATTAAAGCCCAGGCTATTATTTCTAGTTTTATGGTATTTTGGCGTTTTGTTCATATTACATTTTTATCATTAGTTTTAATTAATTTGACAGACAGCATTCCCTGATGTGGACCAAGCTAGTGTCTTTCAGAGCTGCCAACTCTCACAACACTTTTCACACACTCTCACGCCACACATCAATTTTGTTATGCACAGGACACGGAGACCGATGTCAGCTCTCAGATTCTCTTAATTTTATTACGCAATTCAAACAATAAATACAGTTTTGGGGCTTTACACGACAGGTCCCTAACGTACGTGACCGATCATCTCTACAAGCTAATGGTAAAAGAACACGAACACTGTTGAAAGATACAGTATGTTACAACTTACCAAAATCTATTCCTCATGCATAATATCGACCAATCATTTTTTAAACTCATCCCTGAACTGAAATGTAGTAGTGGGCTGTATTTTCCACACGACTGACATCAGGTTCAAGTACACACAAGCCGCGCAACTTACTCGTCTATTGCAGTTTGGCTGGTGGTAATGTTGGCTGCCCGCATACCGCCTCGCATGGCCGAAACTGGTATTACGACACCTGCCGGGCCGGGGCTAGTAATTTAGCATGCTAATTCAGGTTAATATCTCGGCAGCACTATAACTTGTAATTTTTTTAATGACATAATCAACCTTGTTTCTTCTCATTCTTTTGATGCTTGTAGCTCATTTTTGGGATATTTTAACCTCAATTTTTACAGATGCACCTTTAATGTGTGTAGTTGAATATTTGATTTAAATTCAGTCATTTAAATTGCCCCTTGGGGATGAATAAAATGATTTGAATTGAATTGAATTGAGTTATTCAAATAAACGACAGAGCAAATTTGATTTGATCTAACTAAACCTGCCAAGTGTGAACACTCCAAAAAAAGCAGTGAGAGAAATTCCACTCACAATAAATTCTCCTCATTAGTGCTTTAGTGACTAAACAACATGCACAAAGAGAAGCCATTTTTTAAACCAAGTTTGGGAAAGGAGACTCACTCAGGACACTGGCTGTAGACTCTGATGTCATCTGAACATTCATGGGCATCATATATTCAATAGTGAAGCAGCGACCCTTCTCCTCTCCTTAAAAAAAAAACAAAACAAAACAAACATGAACATGCTATCTGTGAAGACAGCAAAAATATATCATACAATCATCATACCCGTTTTCAGTCAAGTCAAGTCACCTTTATTTTTATAGCGCTTTTTACAATGTAGATTGCATCAAAGCAGCTACACAGTAATAACATGCAAAAAATACAACACAGATCAATATTATTGTTGAAAATTAAATGTCCCCAACTAAGCAAGTCAAAAAAACCTTGGGAGAAACCAGGCTCAGTCGGAGGGCAAGTTCGCCTCTGGCCAATGAAGGAACAGTGTGTGATTCGGGTAGCATTACAAGACAAATTGGATCGAAACTTTAAGAGCATTTGTCCATTTCCATGTTTGGAAGTCCGAGTAATCACGCCGGTATGGAGACGAGTTGTTGAGGATCAGTGCCGATGGCTGTCGTGTCGATGAAGCCGGCACTTAAGGATGAGTTGGGATGGGTCCAGGTGCAGGTCCACCATAGAGGGTCCCTCGGGATAAACAGAGAGACTAATATTAGCCTAGACACCATCCTTCTTATGATGTACCAAGTACATCAGGATTTATGGGACGTGTTCCCGGTTCCTAAGCAAGTAATGTCATTAGATTACAAAGAAGAGTTTTGAGAAAGAGGCTGTTTTTGTTATTTTATTTATCTTGCTCTCAACTAACTTGACTAGATTTTGTGAGATTTTATGTTTTGTGAGATTCTGATGTTTATGCAAACTTGATACATATTTGAAAGTATTCAATGTATTTTTAATCCAGTGGACCACAATCAGTATATCAGCTACACTACTGTGTGACACAAAGGTTTGTAGGTCAAACATTTGCTTTGAAATGTTTTTAGTAACAAGGCCACTCAATAAGCCATACTTGCTTAGAACCATTTGGACCCATAAATAGATGTGACCCTTGTGCAAAATGTTGTTGTCTTTTAGTTTATTCTTAGCTAAAAACACTCACGCGTAATTTTCTTTTATTAAATCCAAACAAGACAGAGCTAATACTTATCGGTTCTAAAAACCGTCCACAAAACCTTTCGCAGCACAACTTTAACATATTAGGATGCCCTGTGAAGATTCACAATCTCATCATTTAATGTTGTTTTTAGTTTTTTTATTGTTTTTATTAATAATTATAATCGTTAGTATTATGCATGTGATTTACACTTTTCATATACATTTTTTATACTTTTCATATATATTCATAATCATTTATAATCTACATTTTTATGAATCAAACTTTTCTGAATACTGTATGTGGAAGACTTTTAGAGTTTGGGGGACTTTGGGGGGAAGTTGAGTGTATTATGTTTCTTTCCGTGGAGCAGAATATACATTTCAATGATTGATGGAGAGCAGATGTTTCTCTGGAACAGCTATATGTACTGTGTAAGTTCTTTGTTTAGGCAGAGAGAGGGAAAAATACAGAAGCAACAAGGACGATCTTTGCGGGTCCATTATACTCTCTCTCCCTTATGTCTTATATAAATTGGTAAAATAAATAACATATATTGGCAGAATGACTGGTGTCTTTTCATTAAATTAAATAACAAGGGGAAACGAAGATTTTAAATCTACACCTGTTACTTTATCCGATACAGTAAAAGACCTGGGTGTTATATTAGACTGCAACCTGTCTTTTGAAAAGCATATTTCATATGTTGCAAAAACAGCCTTTTTCCACCTTAGAAACATTGCTAAGCTATGTAACATGATATCTGTCTCTGATGCAGAAAAGTTAGTTCATGATTCATGACCTCGAGACTAGATTACTGTAATGCTTTATTAGCCGGTTGTCCTGCATCCTCAATAAACAAGCTACAGTTAGTCCAAAATGCAGCTGCTAGAGTTCTTACTAGATCAAGAAAATATGATCATATAACACCGATTTTATCATCACTTCATTGGTTACCTATAAAGTTCCGTATTAATTCCAAGGTATTGCTTTTGACTTATAAAGCCCTAAATGGTTTAGCTCCAGTCTATTTAACAGATCTTCTATCGCCCTACCTACAATCCAACGCGCTCTTTAAGATCACTAAATTCGAGGCTTCTGGTCATTCCTAGGATATCCAGATCCACCAAAAGAGGGAGAGCATTTTCACATTTAGCTCCGAAGCTCTGGAATAGCCTTCCTGATATTGTTGGTTGCTCAGACTCGCTCTCCAAGTTTAAAACTAGACTAAAGACGCATTTATTTAGCCTGGCATTCATATAATTTTTTTATCTTAAAGTTACTGTAAATTTGGCCTCTAGTTCATAAACGCCAGAGGAGAACTGGCCCTCGACTGAGCCTGGGTTCTCCCAAGGTTTTTTTTTCTCCATTGGGTCATCTGATGGAGTTTTAGGACACCATCGGGTCACGTGATGGAGTTTTTTGGTTCCTTGCCACTGTTGCCTTTGGCTTGCTCAGTTGGGGATATTCAAATTAAATGACCCATCATACCATTGATCAGCTCTACCAATCTTGATTGTCTTTTTTCATGAATAAACAAACACTGTGATGTTGTCTTGATTGATACTGTGAAGCAGCTTTGATACAATCTGTATTGTGAAAAGCGCTATATAAATATATTTGACTTGACTTGACTTAGTTCTTTCAAAAATATATGTGTTCTTTAATGTATATTTACTTCGTTCAAGTAATAAAGTATTCTCGTGAGTGTATAATATGCCATTGAAAATAAATACGGGTAAGGGGTTCTAATGTCGGTCGCCATGTTGTCCCTCCATCTTGAATGTACATTACATACCCAAGACGGACATACCCGTTAATTCAAGCTTCGTCTTTCGCGTTTACGTTTGAGTTAACACTCATGGACTAGGTCGAAATGGAAGCCATGTTAATCTTGGACTACATTGGCCACCGTAGGAGTTAAAACGAAATCAGAATTGAGAGGAACAGAAACTAATATTCACTGGATGGTCATATACCTTTTCACCACTAGATGGGGGTAAAAATCACACAGTGTAGCTTTAAATAATACATTAGGAATTACTCTCAAAATGTCTGCAAACAATAGGCTATCTATTTTGCATGATCTAATAAATGAATGAACAGAATTTAAACTACAAAAATAATTTTCACTGTGTCTGTAATTCGTTTTGTTAAATACAACTCTGCTCAAATGATTAGGTCGATAAGATTTTTTAATGTTTTTAAATGAAGTCTCTTATGTTCATCAAGTCTGCTTTTATTTGATGCTGTAAAACATTTACATTGTGCAATATTATTACAGTTTAAATGACTGTTTTATATTTTAAAATACGAATCTAACAATGAGAATGTAAAGAAGATCACCCTGGATGTCTTCGGAAACTTTTCACCGGAATCTGCCTCGTCACCTTAATTCTTTGGACATTGTATATAGACTTGGTCCGAAAACAGCTACTGTTTGTGCCATGGGTCTGCGGAATTTGCATAGCGTATCTCCGCCCCACCTTGTGAGTATAAAAGGAGGAAGCGGACGCAACCGCAGTATGTTTTCGCTTCGGAGCCAAGAGAACCTCTTCACTCCACAAGCCATTGATACTGAGTTAAACTCTTCGAGACGAGCGTCCTGTCCAGTGTTGGTGTGACGGCGGTACCCAGCGAGATCCTGCATTGCCTACGATCTGTGCAGTGGTCTGCCAGACTTTGCGCTTCTCCCTGGTCACCTCAGCGCTGCAGAGTGAATTTCCTCCTCTCTTCTGAAAGAGCTGCATGTGGCACGTCTTTTTAAAGATAATTCGCCCGTGTTCTTCTGGTTGCGGTTGAAACCTGTCTTCCTCTGATGGGCACTCCTTTGTGTGCCTGGGCATTGAGCATGCTAGAGCAGCGCTCGTGGATGATTTATGTTCCTTCTGTGGAAACATGACCATCGCGACACTGAGATCTAGACTCAATGACCTTACAGTGAGAGTCCCCGCATCTGCAACCCGATCTGCTTCCTCCTCGAGGGGATGCTCTTCGGCTCGCGGACAGGGTGATCTGACGTTGACGGTGTGGAACAAAAACCCAATGCTTGTTGCTCGGGCCACACCCCCCGCAGCAGTGTTGTAACCCGCGAGTGCTGCGGTGCTTCAGACGAGCGCCTCTTCGGAGGTGCCGTCTGTTTCATTCGATGCTCCGGAGGAGGACACGATGTCGATCGTGGCGTCACAAGGTGGGCTAGACTCCTCAGGAACTGAGGATGCGGCTGGGTTGCCTCCCTTGGGAGTGCCAGCGTTGCCCGTGTCTGATCCCGAGATGACAGCCATGCTGTCTCGGGCCGCCCTGAGCATTGGGCTAGAGTGGAACCAAAGAAAAACGAAGCCGCCCTGCCCCGATCGCTCACGGATGGATGATTGGTTTTTGGGCAAGGTTGCTGCTTCACGGCCGCAGCCGACCCCAATTCCTTACTTCCCCGAACTGCATGGGGAACTGCATGGGGCGACTAAAGTGGCTGCACGCTCCCGGGGTCAGGTGATGGCCACTAGCATGGTCCAGGAGCGTTATCTGTGGCTCAACCTGGCTGATGTGCGGGACTTGAAGGACGCGTACTTTTATGTCTCCATCTTACCTCGACACAGACCGTTTCTTCGGTTTGCTTTCGAGGGACAGGCATATCAGTACACGGTTCTCCCATTCGGGTTGGCTCTGTCCCCTCGCGTCTTTGCGAAGATCGTCGAGGCAGCCCTTGTTCTCCTTCGCGAACACGGGGTTTGCATCCTGAATTATTTTGACGATTGGCTAATCTTGGCACACTCTCGAGATCAGGTCTGCGAACACAGAGACCTTGTGCTCCGGCACCTAACCCATCTGGGCCTTCGGGTCAATTGGGAGAAGAGCAAACTTTGCCCAGTGCAGAGGATCTATTTTCTCGGTATGGAAATAGACTCGGTCGCCATGTGCGCGCAGCTCACGAGCGAGCGAGCACACTCACTGCTGGCTTGGCTTCAACAGTTCGAGGGCAAACTTTTTCAGAGGCTCCTGGGGCATATGGCATCTGCAGCCGCGGCAACGCCGCTCGGACTGCTTCATATGAGACCGCTTCAGCTGTGGCTTCGCGATCGAGTCCCGAGGTGGGCATGGCATCGTGGTACGCTCAGAGTTCCAGTAACTCCGACCTGCCGTCAGACCTTCTTCCCGTGGACGAACCTCAGCTTTTTACGGGCCAGGGTCCCTCTTCAGCGAGTTTCCAGGCATGTTGTTGTCTCCACAGATGCCTCTGCCACGGGTTGGGGAGCCATGTGCAATGGACATGCAGCAGCGGGTTCCTGGACAGTACCTCAGCGCCTTATGCATATCAATTGCCTCGAGTTGCTGGCAGTACACCTGGCCCTGCACTGCTTTCGAGCGCTGCTCAGGGGTCAACACGTACTTGTCCGTTCAGACAATACCGCAACAGTAGCGTACATCAACCGTCAGGGTGGTCTACGCTCACGTCGGATGTCGCAATTCGCACGCCACCTCCTATTATGGAGACAGAAGCACCTGAGGTCCCTTTGTGCTATGTACATTCCAGGAGAGCGCAACCTGGCAGCCGACGAGCTGTCATGGTTCCGTCCAGTCTCTACTGGCGAATGGCGACTCCATCCCCAGTCGGTCCAGCTGATATGGGACCAGTTCAGGGAGGCACTGTTAAATCTGTTCGCTTCCCACGACTCATCCCATTGCGCCCTGTTTTATTCTCTGACCGAGGGCACGCTCTGCACAGACGCCTTGGCGCACAGCTGGCCGCGGGGTCTACGCAAGTATGCGTTTCCCCCAGTGAGCCTTCTCGCACAGACTCTGTGCAAGATCAAGGAGGACGAGGAGCAGGTCTTGTTGGTAGCCCCGTATTGGCCCACCAAGACCTGGTTCTCCGAACTGAAACTCCTCGCGACAGCACCTCCTTGGCCAATTCCTCTGAGGAAGGACCTCCTCTCTCAGAGACTGGGCACCCTGGGGCACCCTCGTCCCGATCTGTGGAGACTACACGTGTGGCTCCTGGATGGGACGAGGCAGGTTTAACACGTTAAAGGTTAAACATGAGGGAAATCATTATTGTGTCCATGACGATGGGAAAAATAGGCATAAAGCTTAGACATTTACCCAAATTATTATATGCACATTTAACCGAAGCTAATTTGGGTGGGTTTGTCCCATCCCCAATGTCACTTATCTTTCTTTCACGGCCCTGACGAGAACATCGATCTCTCGGCTGTGAACCGATGCTGAAGCGCGTCTGGTAAATGTGCCGTTAAAATATAATTGCGCCATGGAACAAGCGCACCTCGTTCATCATGCTCTTAAAGGGAATGTGATATGATGCTCTTATTGGTTTATTTCCGTTATGCCCAAACCACACCTATGAATAATGAAGCTATTTCAAACCAACCCCTTTTAGATTTGCGCCAGGCGCAAGAGGCATTTATCCCACCAGGAAAATAGCAACAGCGCTGGGATCCGCCCACAAAGTTACTTGCATTTTGACACTTGCATTTCAGATCGTTAAAATAGGGCCCAGAGGGTCAACTGCTATAGTGGAATATTTGGTTCCCTTTCAGTCACTCACATTCGACGTCAACATGACAACGTTAGGGGATCACTTCAGGGAGTCCTATCAACTTCGAGGATCTACAGAACGAGCCAATGAATGTTGGCGTGCGCAAGAAGCGCCACACGCCCCATGCCACGCCCCGCAGAGCGGGCGCAAGCACTCACTGTCTTTCACTTCGGAACCGAGATTTCGTTTTGACTCTGAGTTTCTGCAGACTGCTGCCTCGTTGGAGACTAAAGAAGGAGAATACTCTGTTCCAGTGCTGGTATGAAGGTGCGATCAGCGGTGGCTGCGAGCATTACAGCTCACAACTGTTGTTTTCACAGCATTGCTTGTGTGTGTGTATTTCTGTGTGTGTAAGTCTCCTTGGGCGTTCCTCTCGTGAGTGTGCACCCTAATTACACCGCGGCTATCCCTGGGTGCTTCAGCACTGAGAGAGTTATTTTTCTCTTTTTTAGATTTTTTAAAAGAGCACAAGTGTGACCCTGCATCCTTTTTAGGATGTCATTCCGCATGTGCATTTCTGGATGCGGTCGTTCCTTGGAGCCAGCAGACGGCCACAATAGTTGCCTCTCGTGTTTGCACCGAGGTCGACCTCCCGCTCCGCTCCCGCTAACCCTGAGTAGCAGCAGCCACCATCCCTCCTCAGGCCGCTGCCAAACCAGGAGGCAAGCACAGGTGCAAACGAACCTGGGATGGGTGACCCATAGGTGGATAAAGTTGCTCTTCAGGAGGTGGTTAAGGCACCGCTCCTTCCCCCGGTGGACGGCCGGGCAGAGAATCTTTTGTTTCTGCCACTGACCCACGGACCAGTGGTACCCACTTTTTTAACAAAAGAGCAATTTCTGAAACCTCTAGGTCACAAGTGGGCGTGCTTGGTGGTCAACGACACTATGCCTTGTCACCCCTTAAAGCCCCTCCTTCATTGCCAGTGAGCAGCAGTGGCCGTGTTCCGGATGCACTGACGGCTCCGCACACTCACTCTGCCATTCGACGGAAGCAGGTACGTGTTGCACTTCACACTCAGACCCCACCCCGGGCCGCTATGCCGTCCGAGTCGGATCCCTGCATTCCGCCGCGCTGCCCCACCCTGGGTACGTCTGTGGTGCCATTGTTTGTTCACAGTACATCTTGCGTTGGGCCGCTTCAAAACGCCGCTACAAGGCAAGTACTGGTCCGTACGGACAGCACTGCAACCGTTGCGTACATCAACTGTCAGGGTGATCTAGGCTCCTGCCGCATTATGGCAAGCCATTTTAACATTTAATCATTTTAACCAACTAGTCTCTATTTTCATATTTTCTCTTTTGTAGTTGTTACGAGTAAATAATCTTATCTTACTAGTCACAACTAGCCTGACTTCGTCATACTCATATTCAAGAGAGAATATGAGTCTGAAACTCCCCTGTTGGGCTTTGATTATGAGGCGTGTCGTAACCGAACCATGAAAAAAAACTCAATGCTTAATTTTGCATGCAGGGACCCTCATTATGTTACTGTGTTGGTTTGGGGTTTTTTTGAGCCTTGTTAGTGGTATAAACTAGAGATTTCTTTTTACTTAGTAAATGCCCCCAGTACTAGCATTATACGCTAAACAGTTTTTAGAGATAAAACTCTTTACATTCGATTATCATGAAAACAAATCTCAGAGAACGGTTGACTAGGTACCAATGTTTTACCAGACCCAAGGTTCATTTTACACTGGAGATCTCCTTTAAAAATCTTGTCCTGTAAGACAGTTCTCCTGGTTGCATTGGCCTCTATCAAGAGGGTATGGGACCTGCATGCATTTTCGGTCGTCGAATCATGCCTAGAATTCGGCCCAGATAACTCTCACATGATCCTGAGACCCTGGCCCAGATACGTGCCCAAGGTTCTTACCACTCCCTTCCGGGACCAGGTAGTGAACCTGGAAGCGCTGCCTTCGGAGGAGGCAGACCCAGCCCTGGCTTTTGTCTGTCCCGTTCACGCTCTGCGTCTTTACGTGTACAGAACGCAAAGCCTCAGGACCTCAGATCAGCTCTCTGTCTGTTACGGAGGCCAGCAGAAAGGGAAGGCTGTCTCCGAGCAGAGGTTGGCCCACTGGATAGTGGATGGCATCACCTTAGCTTATGAAGCCCAAGGCGTGCCCTGCCCGCACTTTCCTCTGGAAGGGTCAATATCCCAGTGTTATCCAAAAGAGTTCCACTGTGTGGGTTATAATGGAGCAGAAGTCCGAACTCCCTCTAAGCAAGCCTTTCACCCCAGCCAAAGTCACGTTGAATGTGAGCGACTGAAAGGGAACGTCTCGGCTCCTTAGCGAAAAACATTGAATGCATGCGCCCGCTTCCTGTTTATACTCGCGCTGCGGGGCGGGGTGCGTGCCGCTTCTCACGCACGCCAACGTTTATTGGCTCGTTCTGTAGATACTCAAAGTTGATAGGGCTCCCTGAAGTGACCCTGTGGACGTCACATCTCCCGTTCCCTCCTTCAGGGAACGAGGGTTACATCAGTAACTGAGACGTTTTTACAACAAATATTATTTTTTTAAATCTATTAAAAAAAATGTATATGTAGCAGTATCACAAAGGAAGCACATGCCGTCTCTCTTTCGCTCTCTCTCTGACACACACACACACACACATACACTTACCTGCTAGAAAACAGACCCTCCAGAGCCCTGAATGGAGAGACATTCGAATTTCAGTGCTCTGATTGAGGGGTAGGATGACCCCCTCTTCTAGGTAGAGCCAGTGGTCGGTGCTGACGGCAATACCCAGGAGTCCCAGACTACATACAGCAAACACACTGCTGAGGAGTGTCAGTGCCTTTCTGCCACACAAGCTCATCTTTCACATAGCAGGGGGTGCCAGCTGCAGAAATCAGGAGCTGTATAAAAGAGAAAAGAGCTTAAATAGACTTAAATTACTTAATATTCTATTTAAAGGTTCAAAACGCAAGTATCTGAGTTTTTGCAGAAAACTCCCCTCTGGTGACAAGCGAAACTGCGTGCACGCTCATGGAACACACACATACACACACGTTTGCACAAGCTGTTCATAACCAAAGGAGCATCAGCCGCACACTGTGCGATACACATCTTTTGATACAGTCATAATGATGTAATACAGTTATAAATCTGCAAGTCATTAATATATGAAAGGAAAGGCATTCGAGTAAATTACACACTTATATGTGTGTATGAGGGGAAAACAGGCGTAGTAGAAAACGTTTTTTGTTTCCATTCCACCTATTTCCTTGTTGTACTGTTTTATGTACTTACTCTATCCACTTATGATTGTATTATTATGGAAACACATTCATGAACAATATAAGTTATTCCTTTGTATAGGACCCGTTTGAGCCCTAGAGCAGACTGGAGATCTCTCCGTTTGTTGAAAGCTTCCCGATGTTGACTCTCGTCTTATTCCGACGACTGGCACTGGACAGACAGAAGTTGTATTTTCTTTGTCTTACGTGGAGTTTGCGTTGGGGTTTGGAATGAACCACAAGCCAGTCTCTTTGGGGCTGTTTACACCTGGCCACTTCATGCGTTTTCTCAGATCGGATAGCTATCTGATTTATCAAAACGATTCTATTTACACCTGGTCACAAAAATGTGTTTTTGCAAAACAGATATTAATCTGATATTCAATTCCCGCGCTATACAGATTTCATGAAGTGCACATCACCGAAAGCAACATATATGAGCTGCATTTTATTAATCATCGGCTAATTTCAAAATCAGCAAAGACAGCAATAAGACAGGCCTGGTAAGATCATTTCATTTCTTTACTTTTAATGAAGATTGTAGTGTCAAGCGTCTGCGACTTACTTTCACTTTTATTTGCGATAGATTGCGGCGCGCTGGCTTGATGAATAGGCGCTCAGCTGCTCATCTGAGGTGATGCACGTCGTCATATATGACTAAAACAACATGACATAGAGGCTAGCCTGGTTTCAACAACCAGATGCATTTACACTTGTCCAGTTTCGTCTGAATTGTGGCCCAGACCATGTCCTCAAGTGGTTTGAGCGATCGGATTCAAATCCGTCTCGAATGTGTTTTGGAGGGCAACCTGGTCTTTTCACGATCGAATAGCTATCCGATCACAGAAAACGCATTAAGTGACCAGGTGTAGGCTAAACAGCCCCTTTGAATCCATCGTCTACATTTGTGGAAAGTTGACTAAAGTTGTGTCGCTCGAGTTGTCTTCTGACACAGAGAATGGCGGCGAATACACTAACCTGCAAGGCATAGGCACATAGCCAGGCGAGCGTGAACGCGCATGACGTCACACCCAGTCTCAGATTCGAGGCCGAATCCTTCTTATTTATTTTACTGTACAGGATTATAGAGGCGATCGCAGTGATCAGAGAAGGGCTCATTCAGTCCATCAGGCGATTGTTTAAGCATGTATGGGTTAGAAAACGTTCAGCGATCAGGCCACGGTGTTTATGTCACGTACGATTTGCGAGCTTTATAAGTTATTGGGCATTAAATCTGTTCGAACAAGCGTCTACCACCCACAAACAGACGGTTTGGTCGAACGCACGTTAAAATTCATGATTCGAAAGTTCGTACACAAAGACGCCAAAAATTGGGATCGGTGGTTAGAACCCCTCTTGTTCGCTGTACGGGAGGTCCCGCAAGCCTCCACAGGGTTTTCCCCCTTCGAGCTTCTCTATGGACGGCAGCCCCGTGGCGTGCTGGACGTCCTTAGAGAGGCCTGGGAGGACGGACCTTCAGATAGTAAAAACGAAATTCAGTATGTTCTGGACCTGAGAACAAAACTCCACACTTTGGGGTGGCTATCAAGGGAGAATTTGTTGCGGGCCCAGGACAGACAGAGTCAACAGGGGGGCTAGACTGCGGAAGTTTACACCGGGAGATAAAGTGCTTGCATTGCTCCCTACATCTAGTTCGAAATTACTCGCAAAGTGGCAAGGACCCTTTGAGGTCACACGGCGAGTTGGGGATCTCAACTATGAGGTAGCTCGAACGGACAGGGGTGGAGCACATCAAATATATCACTTCAACCTGCTTAAAAAATGGTCGGAGGCAGAATCAGTGATGCTGGCGACGGTAGTAAGTGGGGAGGAGGATTTGGGTCCAGAGGTGAGTGCAAAGTCTCGATCTCTCGCTCTGGCCCTGGGAGGTGACCACCTCTCACCCTCCCAGCTGACTGATATCAAATCAATACAAGTAGATTTTTTTGATGTGTTTTCACCCCTGCCCGGACGAACGAATCTCATCCAGAACCATGTTGAGACAGAACCGGGTGTGGTCGTTCGCAGCCGGCCGTATAGATTACCGGAACACAAGAAAAATGTACTTCAAAATGAATTAGAAGCAATGCTGGAAATGGGAGTGATAGAAGAATCCAACAGTGATTGGGCGAGCCCGATAGTTTTGGCCCCTAAAACGGACCGCTCGGTTCGGTTCTGCGTGGATTACAGGAAGGTGAATGCTGTGTCGAAATTTGACGCATATCCAATGCCTAGAGTTGACGAATTGCTTGATCGACTAGGTTCCGCTCGTTTTTATTCGACATTTGGACTTAAAAAAAAACAGCTTTCACAACGCTGTTCGGATTACACCAATTTGTTACGCTTCCGTTCGGGTTGTTTGGGGCTCCAACCACCTTTCAGCGGTTGATGGACAGAATTCTCTGACAGCATGCTGCATATTCCGCGGCATATCTAGATGATATCATCATTTATAGTGGTGACTGGCAGCGACATATGCAGCATTTGCAAGCTGCCCTAAAGACACTGAGAGGGGCAGGGCTCACGGCCAACCCGAAGAAGTGTGCAATTGGGCGGGTGGAAGTAAGATATCTGGGCTTTCACTTGGGTCATGGTCAGGTGCGTCCACAAATTGATAAGACGGCAGCAGTTGCGACTTGTCCAAGACCCAAGACCAAAAAGGAGGTTAGACAGTGGCTTCACCGTATGAAGGATAACAAGACGCGGATCACCCGTTGGTATCTGGCTTTACAACCAATTAAATTTCAGGTGATCCACAGGCCGGGTGTACAGATGGCTGTGGCCGATTTCCTCTCCAGGAGGAGGGGGACGGGGGGCGGGTCGGAACAGAGAGGAGTGTAAGTAGGTCAATTGCAGATGATGATCACCTGTGTCTGATTTCAGTAATTGACATGGAGAGACCGGATTGAAGCCGGCGTGTGAGAAGGAACGAGAGAGAGAGACGAGCTGGGACCTTGTGTGTGCTGCTGTGGAACGAGACAGCGAGAATTCAGCGAGAGTTATTGTGTTACTGGCTGTGCTTGTGCACGGTGAACGCGCTCTGTGCGCCCCTTTGTGTTTGATCTAAGAGATCGTGAATAAAGAGAGTGTCCCAGCTCAAGCCGATCCCTGTCTTCTTCCTTCCTGGTTAAAGTGAGCCTCTTCACAATCGTTTATTATCTCCATGAGCGCTGTCTCTGTGCTGTGATACCAGATTTAAACCAGATTGAAAATTGTCAAAGTATCCATTCAAGCTTAAGAATTTGTTCAGCTGATTGAAGACAACTTTTTCAATGATCTTGCCTATGAAAGGGAGATTTGAGATCAGTCTATAATTGCTTAGGATGGTCTTATCCAGATTGCTCTTTTTCAGGAGGGGCTTGACAACTGCAGTTTTTAAGGGGATTGGAAAACTCACAAGTGAGGCATTTACCACCTCTTGGAGATCTGCTTCTAAACAGTTTAACACACTTTTGATGTTGATGTTTTAAGGTGCTGAACGGTTTCTTCCAAAATTGTGCCATCAATTTCTTCAAAAACAGACATAGTAACTACAGATTTTGGTCTGAACTGTCTGACTCCAGAGCAACTCAAGGATGTGCTGATCACCTTTCTGATATTATTGATTTTCTCAGAGAAGAAAGAAGCAAACTCACTGCACTTGCTGTCTTGGAATCTGGCTTGGGGGGTTTGTCAGTCTCTCTACAGTAGCAAAAAGAGTGTGTGTGCTGTTTAAGTTGCTATTTCTAATATTTGAGAAGAAAGTCTGTCTAGCTTTGCCTAGCTCCATATTAAAAGCATGGATGATGTCTTTGTAGATGTTGTAATGGACTACAAGTTTTGGGTTTTGTTTTGATATTTTGCAAGCTTTTTGCAAGTTACAAGTTTTGATATTTTGCACTGCTGTTGAGTTTCTCCAGGGTGCTTTTTGTCTACCATTATTCTTCCTGACTTTCACAGGAGCAATATCATCAATTACACTCTTAATTTTTGAGTCGAAAGAATCAAGGAGAAAATCAACAGAGTCAGTAGATATGCTTGGCACAAAAAATTATTGCACAACCTTCTGTGTTCTGCGTATTTTCAGTATGCGTCTACCCTGTTATTGTGCACTTGGCTGGTTATTGCATTATGTTGTATTTGTATGCACCAATATTGTTGCTTCATTATTATAATAATAATAATAATATAATAATTCGTTACATTTATATAGCGCTTTTCTGGACACTCAAAGCGCTTCACATAGAAGGGGGGGGATCTCCTCAACCACCACCAATGTGCAGCATCCACCTGGATGATGCGACGGCAGCCATATTGCGCCAGAACGCTCACCGCACACCAGCTTACTGGTGGAGAGGAGACAGTGATGAAGCCAATTGGTGTATATATGGGGATGATTAGGAGGCCATGATGGACAGAGGCTACTGGGCAAATTTGGCCAGGATGCCGGGGTTACACCCCTACTCTTTCGAAAGACATCCTGGGATTTTTTATGACCACAGAGAGTCAAGACCTCGGTTTAACGTCTCATCCGAAGGACGGGATTATCACTCCCTGCTATATAGTTTTGACACTCTACCAGGTGTGAGTGTTTCAAGCAGGTCCAGTACCTGAACTGGATGAGGCAGGGTTTTTGATCT